GCGTCTGAACTGGACACTGCCCAGCCCCACCGCCCCGCGGCCCCCGGCAGCACTGCTGCTGCTTTCGGACTGCATCTGGGAGGCCACGGGCTGCAGGGAACGGGCTCCATGCTCCGGCCCTGTGAGCGGTGCCCAGCCACAGTGGCCAGCACAGCCAGGGCCTTTCCTGCTCACTGCCCGGCTGTGGGTGCAGGAGCCCCGGGGTGCTGCTCACTCACAGTGAACGCAGCGCTGCCGCCCAGCCGTGCCCCCCGCGGGGCCCCCATTCCCACTCGGTCTCTCCAATTTGTATTAAGAGTCCCTTCCTCGCAGGCTTTCCTCCTCCCCTGCTTCCCCTTTCTCGTCTCTTTTGTGAGTGAATAATTTATGGCACTTTTCATCTTCCTGGCTGTGGTTGCAGGCGGGCGGTGGTGGGATGCTCCAGCCCGTGCCGGTGCCACCGTGGGGTGGAAACAAGGCAGGATCCTCCTGGTTGTGATGGGGATTCTCAGGTGGGAGCAGCAGCCTCTGCCATCACCCCGCCGGCCATGGGCAGGCCAAGTGTCTCCGTGGTGGTCCATGAGACCAAGGGACACCGGTGGGACCCGGTGGTGGCTGCAGCACCCAAGGATGCGCAGGCAATGGCCGAGAGGTGCCCTGGCGGTGCTGGGCAGGGGGTCCCACCGTGGCAGGGCGCAGGCAGGACCGGGCAGCCCCCGGCCCACCGCGTGGTGCGGGGCTGCGGCGAGGCTCCCGTGGGCCGCGGGCTCTTACACAAGCTCATTGTTTGTGAGTCAAAAGAGGTTTTGTGTCCGCTCTGGAGATGTGACAGGAGCAGGAACAATTTGCCCCATTCATCTTGGACCCTGCCTTTGGAGAGCCGGGCCGTGGCCTTCGCCCGTTAAACCCAACCACTTCCCCGCCGTGAAAACCACCCGGGGAGCAGGTGTTGGGAATGGCCCCTTCCCCTCCTGATCCCCTCGGATCCAGCACCACCGAAATCGAGGATAATCCCGCGGCCTCTTCCAAATGAAAACGCTGAGCCCTGATTAATTCATTTAATAAGTGACTGATCCCCTCCTCCCCGGCGCTGCCGACCAAGAAGCCATTTTGCTTCTTGCTCTTGGGGCCGGGCACCGCCGGGGATGCCGAGGGGATGCTGAGGAGATGCTGAGGCCGATGCAGATGTGGTGTCCCTGTGGCCTCCTCCCGGCCTTGCTTCTCACCCAGCCATGGCCTTGGAGGGCAGCACTCGGGGCCTCGGAACCAGGCAGCCTCCATTGGGCTCTGCAGCCTCACCAGCATCCCCCACGCGGTGCCAGGGTCTCCTCTGCCTCCAGCCGATGGAGGGGATTAGAAAGAAGGATGAAATACTCCGTTTTCCAAGGCAAAGATCAAACCGGTTGGGAAGTGACATTGTTTTTACAGTTCCATCTGCTTCAATTAGGGCATGGGGGTGGAGCAGGGGGGCTCCCAATTATCCTCATTAGAGGGGCTCCTCGTGCAGCCAAGCTCCAGCCGCGAGCAGGGAGCTCACCGGGCTCGTGCTGGTTGATAATGAACACAGCGATGGCTGCATAGCCTGGCCTTGCTCCCCGCTGCTCCAGAGCCCTGCTCCGGACGTGGGGTTTGGGGCTCGGGAGCTGGGTGGGTTTTACTGCAATGGGATCCTCTGGGAGCGTGGCCAATGCTGCCATCAGCAGAGCGGGAGCCTAAACCTGGCACCCAAAGCAGGAGGGCTCCTGCTCCCTCTCCCCAGGTCCTGCTTTGCTGAGGGGTGCCCCAGCCTCTGCTCAGGGCTGGTGGGGGGCTGGATACCCCAGTGAAGCTGCCTGGGGAGCAGCAGCAGCGCTGGCATCATCCCATCAGCACCACCCAGAGCACACCGGTGCTCTCAGATTGCTGAGGCCATTTCCGTTCAGACCCAAGGACCTCGGCAGTGTGGATTTGTGGTCAGTTCCCTGCTCACACAGGACTGAATTAATCCACTGCTTTGTGTGCTGTAAAACTGTAGAAACAAGACAATTACCTGTAGCAAGTGGGTTTGTAGACCTCGTGGTTTATTCATCCTTGGGTTGAACTGAGCTGTTCTTTTAGTAGATGCTGGTCCCTTGCTTTAGATTCCTATTTCATTTTCTTATTCCACCTGGACAGATAGAGACATCTTCTTTGTTTTCTATATCTTTTGGCTGTAGCAAACCCAGTATCAGTAAATGCAGCAAGGTCAAGTAGAAACCTGATTTGTGTTTTGTGCAACACAGAAGAAAAGCCAAGATCTTGAGAAGTCGGGGGTCCAGATCTCATCCCCAGCATCCTGCTGGTGTGGGACTGGCACTGCAATGGGGATGGGAGCTGCAGGGACTGGGGCAGAGCTTGGGGCTGTGGGTGGATGGGCAAGAGCACAGAGGGGATGCTCAGAGGAGGTTGAGGATGCTCAGAGCAATGCAGGGATGCCCAGGGCAGGTTGAGGATGTTCAGGGCACCCTCAGTCTTCTCTTAGGTAATGCCTCTCTTGGTGCCCTTGCCTGGCAGGGCTTTGGTGGTGTGGGGGAGGCCGTGCCGGGGGCTGCCTGCACCCCAAAGAGCAGGCAGGAGGTCGCTGCCGTTGGCTTGCAGGACGGGTGCTGATTGGCGCTGTGCTGTTGCTGTGCCCGGGCTGATGGCAGGGCCTGGCGTGCGGCTCGTGCCTCCCTGCATGGGAATAATTCTCCTTAATCCTTGCGGGAGGCATCGCTGGAAGCGGCTGGAGCCTCCCTCGGGGAGCCCCTTCTCCCCTGGCGCAGAGCAGGGGGAGGGACAGGACCGCCGCCATCCTGTGCACTCCGTGCCCCTGGCCACCTGCATGGGGACCCGGCTGAGCCAGCACCGCGCCTGCGCCCGTGCTGAGGGCACCGGGTGCCAGTGCTGGGGCTGGCTCCGTGCCCCAGCAAGGCGCGTGTGGGGCAGAGCCCCCAGGAGCACGCAGTGGGGCAGGGCTGAGCCATCGCATCGTGCTGGAGAGCAGCACCCGCGGTGCTCCGGGGCAGGGGAGCTGTCAAGCTAAACCCACAGCTACGGCTGAGCCGGCAGCAGCCCTGTGCCGTGGTCAGGCTGCAGTGCTATGGCAGGAGACCAGAGCTGGTCCCAGGGGCTTGCCTGGGGAGTGCCCCATGTAGTGCTGGCTGCTGAGCCCCCAGGAGCCCCATGCTGGGGAGGTGATGGCTGCCGCTGGCCCAAGCACCCATAGGCACCACCGCAGGGGCTGGGTGAGCTCTGGGCAGCGCTCAGACAAGTGCCTGGAGCAGCGCAAGGGAAAGGAGGGGCACGGAGCCCTGCACAGCGGGGACCTCCTCATTTAGAGGCTCTCTGGGTGAGGAGCAGCCTGGCCATGAGGCCGGGCAGCGAGCGCTGGCAGCGGGGCCGGGGTGCCCGGGGATCGGCTCCCGAGGGTCCTCACGTGTGTTTGTTCGAGGGGAGCCGAAGCCCGGGGCGGCCGCAGGGTCCCGGGAGCGCGCCCGGCGCCGCTCGGTGCAGTTTGTGCTGCGTGGCGCGGGAGGCGGCGGCAGCCGGGCCCCGGTGCCCGTGCGCGGGGGCTGCCCCACGGCCCGGCCCCATTGTGCTGCGGCGCGGGCCGGGCGCGGAGCCGCCATCTGCTCCTCGCTGCCGGCGGCTCCTTTGTTCGGCGCAGGAAGCGGCTCCCCACGTGCTCGCTCGCCCTTTCCCTCTCGCGGAGGCACCTGATGGAATAAAGGATTGAGAGCGGCGACGGGAGGCAGCGCGGGGACGGGCTGAGCCCGCGGGAAGGGCGCGCCTGGCCCCGGGGCTGGGCTCCCGGGCCGGGTGCGGGCAGGGCTGGGTGCAGGCAGGAGCGGGTGCAGGCAGGGCTGGGTGCAGGCAGGAGCGGGTGCAGGCAGGAGCGGGTGCAGGCAGGAGCGGGTGCAGGCAGGAGCGGGTGCGGGCAGGGCTGGGTGCAGGCAGGAGCGGGTGCAGGCAGGGCTGGGTGCAGGCAGGAGCGGGTGCGGGCAGGAGCGGGTGCGGGCAGGGCTGGGTGCAGGCAGGAGCGGGTGCAGGCAGGAGTGGGTGCAGGCAGGGCTGGGTGCAGGCAGGAGCGGGTGCAGGCAGGGCTGGGTGCAGGCAGGAGCAGGTGCCGGCAGGGCTGGGCGCTCTGCCGTGGCTGGGCTGCTCCGCGGAGCAGGAGGCTGGCACGGTGGGAGGGATGGTGCCAGGAGCCGGGGGTGTGTGGATGCAAGCAGGAGCTGCGCTGGGCTTTGCCGTCACCAGGTCCCTGGGCCGTGGGTCTGCTTGGTTTGGGTGGAACAGGGGAGCGGGAGCATCCATGTAGGGTGCAGGAGGTCACTTGGGCTTTGGGAGGGACAGGAGGGACGTCATGCATCTCCTGCCCCTCCTGCAGCATCGTGCTCAGGAGCCTTACCCCGGCCTGGCCCCTGCGAACAGAGCTCCCAACGCTGCGTCCGTTCCACACCCTCAGCGGTTTCCCACCCGGCTGCGCCTGTCCTCATGTGCTGTCCCCTCGCCCTGCGGTGCAGCCTGTACCTGAGCTGCTGGTGCTGGAGCTCCTCACCTCCCAGAGCCCCAGGAGGACGGCGGGGAGCGGCAATGCCCCTTTCTCCTCCCTGCAATGCAAACAGAAACCGAAAAGGACCAAATTCCAAAGTTCTTATTCAAGCCCGGGCGCCGCAGCCCCGGGTGGAGGCGCAGGGACTGTCCCCTGCGGGAGGGACGGGCAGCCCTGGTCAGGGTATGGCAGGGCCCGGTGTGCTCTGAGGAGCGGAGCCGTGTGACGATGGTGTCCGTGCTCCCAGCGGCTGCATCCCGGTGCCCAAAGCACGGCGCTGCCGGCCTGGTTCCCGGCAGCACATGTGGTGATCCTAAGTGAGTCCGGGGTAGCCCTGGGGCTTCCAAAGCAGGGGGTGCATCCATGCTGCGTGCCCTGGTAGGCTCAGGGGAGGTTGGCCCCGTGGTGGCAGAGCTGCTCGCCCGCCTCGGGACACCACGGGGTGAGCACACGTCCTTCCTTGCAGATGACTCCTCGTCAGAGAGCTGCAGCGGGAATGGCTCCTCCACCCTGAACCCCTCGACCTCGAGCAGCACGCAGGGCGACAGCGCCTTCCCCGAGATGAACGGCAATGGCCCCGCGGCACCCATGGACTTCACGGCGGCGGCCGACGAGCAGCCCATCAACCTGTGCGACAAGCTGGCCCCGGCGCACGGCACCCCCTCCTACCAGGCGGACGGCTGCAGCGCCGACGGGCTGCGCAGCAGGGGCAAGTACGGCGTGAAGAGCACGGCAGAGGTACGGCCCCGATAGGGGAGGTGGCAGGGGACACGATGTGGTGCCCCCGGTGTCCCTGGCCAGGGCTGGTCACGGGGCATGGCGCAGGGGGAGCAACCAGGCAGGGACGTGGCTGCTGCCGCAGCACCAGGATAGCACAGAGCAGGGCAGCCGGGCTGGGAGCCTTTCCCTTGTAGGGACGCAAGGATGGACAAACTGTGCCTGGCCAAACCCCAGCCTTGGGCTGCTGCTGCTCGGCAGAGTTCAGCCCAGGCACCGAGCAAGCGGTTGGCAGAGAGGAGGAGGGAGGGTTGGGGAGAGCTGGGGGCACCCCTCACATCCCACCTGCCCCAGAGCCGGGGCTCTGCAGTGGGCTCGTCTCACCCCAGCCCGCGCAAGGAGGATCCTGTTTGGTCCAGGCAGTGTTTTCCCCAGGGTCAGGCAGAGCCGCGCTGCCTGCACTTTGGGCCATCACAGGCCACATGAGGTCACCATGTCCCCTCCTGCCCCAAGCAGGCAGGAGCTGGCACCTGGGGAAGCCCAGTCATGGGTTCATCTTCCCAGGGTGCAGGAACATCGGGAAAGGGGGCAGAAGCAGTGAACCGAGGAGAAAGGGTTTTTACCTTGTGACCCCGGGCAGAGGCGAGCAGGCAAGGGATGCTCATGGTAATTCCTGTGTCCTCTCAGTCCCCTCCATACAGCTCTGGCAGCTACGACTCCATCAAGACAGAGGTGAGCGGCTGCCCCGAGGACCTGACCGTCGGCAGGGCCCCCACGGCTGATGAAGATGATGATGACCACGATGACCATGAAGACAACGATAAGATCAATGACTCGGAGGGGATGGACCCGGAGAGGCTAAAGGCTTTCAATGTAAGGAGGGCTCCACGGGGAGGGTGAGCCCTGCTGCCTCCATCTTGGTGTTCCACCATCTCCCTTCTCCTTTGCAGATGTTTGTGCGCCTCTTCGTGGATGAGAACCTGGACCGGATGGTTCCCATCTCCAAGCAGCCCAAGGAGAAGATCCAGGCCATCATCGAGTCCTGCAGCCGGCAGTTCCCCGAGTTCCAGGAGCGGGCACGCAAGCGCATCCGCACCTACCTCAAATCCTGCCGCCGCATGAAGAAGAACGGGATGGAGATGGTGAGCGGCCACCCCGGTGCCCCCCTCCCCGTGCACCACCGCTCCTGGTGCAGCAGGTACCTGAGGGTCTCCTCTGCTTGTGTCCCTGCAGACCAGGCCCACGCCGCCACACCTGACCTCAGCCATGGCCGAGAACATCCTGGCCGCTGCCTGTGAGAGCGAGACGCGGAAAGCAGCCAAGAGGATGCGGCTGGAGATCTACCAAACCTCCCAGGTACGGTGCTGGCGGCTGGAGGTGGGCGAGGGACGGAGCCAGCAGCATCCTGTGGTGGCTGGGGAGAAGGAGAGACGTTTCTGAGTGATGACAAGGCTTTATTAAAAGTCTGTCTGAAATAAGAGGGCTGCAGAGCATGGCCCAGACTCAGGCCAGCAGGGATGGGGAGCTGGACCAGGCATCCCTGCTCCTCACTGGACTCAGTCTGCGTTTCCCCCACGCAGGACGAGCCCATCGCTCTTGATAAACAGCACTCCAGAGACTCCACAGCCATCACCCACTCCTCCTACTCACTGCCAGCTTCATCTTACTCCCAAGACCCAGTCTACATCAATGGAAGCCTCAACTACAGCTACCGTGGCTACGGGTCCCTGGGGGGCAGCCTGCAGCCGCCTGCCTCCCTCCAGACGGGCAACCACAGTAACGGTGAGTGACCACACACTGCACCAGGAGCACCCCTGCCCGTCGCCTCCATCCCGGGCTCCGCATCCCTGCAGGGCAGCCGGGCCGGGCACTGGAGCACAGGGCTGCTCCCAAGCCCCCTCTTCCCTGCAGGTGACCCGCATTGCCCGGCTGCTCAGCTTGCCTCCTCAGCAAGTGCTGACTGCTGAGCTGAACCTGGAGGGACGGAGGAGGTGGCACTGGGAGGGAGGGAGCGTCCCAGAATAACAGGGGAATCTGCACCAGCTGTTAATGGTTAACAGGAGCAGGCGCCTATCGCTGCCCTCATCTCGTGGCTGGTACGAGCCCATCCGTCCCCAGCCTGCTTTGGTGGCTCTGGGAGAGCAGGACGGGGCCGGTGCAGCTGGGGCTCCTGCTGCAGCTCGGGAGGGTGCTTGGGGGCTGCCTGGGAGAACAGGACCGGTGCTGCAGGGCAGGAGGAGGGTGCAGGGGGCTGGCTGGTTTAGGAGCAGGTGGACAGAGGCCGTGGTGGTCCTTGGCCAGTCCTTTGGCAGTCTCCAGGCTTTTGCTTGCCCTGGTGCACGCTGTGCTCCTGCCCTGCCTCTGCCCACCCCAACAGGAGGGAGGATTTGGAAGGATGTGATTTCCGGAGCCCTGCGAGATGCCTGCCTGGGATTAACTCTTATCATCCCTTCCTAATGCTTCTTAACCCTGAATAAAGAGCCCGCCCCGGCCTCCAGCTGCTGAGACCTAATCCTTGGAGCCGCGGCGATGGGTCCTGCCCTGGGCAGCACCAGCAGCCCTGGCCCTGCGCTGGCTCCGGGGGGTGAGGCACCGAGCAGCCCAGAGCAGCCCCAGGGAGCAGCCAGGCCCTGCTCAGCGCAGCAGCACGTGGCTCCTTCCCAATGCATTCTGAACCTCACTTCCCCTTTGCCCAAGCTCCGGCCCAGCCCTCCAGGGGCAGGATGGTGCTGCCGTAGCCGGAGCTCTGCGGGGAGCTGCCCGTCTGCCTCGCTGAGCAGGAAGCCTGCAGGGTTTGCTGCCCACAAGCGTCTTCTCCCTCCATCCCCCACCTGAGGCGATTCCTGCTCAAACCACGGCCCCACCGGGGCTCCTTCCCCCTCGGTGAGCCGGGAAATGGCTCCCTTTACTGCTGCCTTTTCTGTCCAGTGAAATTGCTTTCACTTGAGAGCCTCCTCCTCCCCTGGCAGGCTGATTACCCTGGTGTGCAAGTGCTCTGCTGGGGCTGCTCCTCCCACAGCTCCAGCACAGTGTTCCCTGGATGCTTTCCCTCCTGCCCTCAGCAATGGGCTCCCCTCCCTGCCACTGTCACCGGTGGGATCCCCCACTGGTGGTCTGCAAATCACTGCAGCCCAGTCCCTGCTCCGCATCCCTCGTGTCCCACGGCTGTGCCAGGCCACGCAGCGGGAGCTCAGCCCTCCTGGATCCTTTCTGCAGCATCACCAAGGGCTCCATCAGCCCGCAGCGCTCCGGCTCACAGCTCAGGCTCAGCCAGGGCTCTGCAGGGAGAGGTGGGCACCTCCTCGTGGCAGGATGGGCACGGGCAGAGCGCCTCTGCCTGAGCTTGCCTCTTGCTTTCCCTCGGCAGGTCCCACGGATCTCAGCATGAAAGGTGGGGCCTCGAGCACGGCCCCGTCCAACAGCACCAGCAGGGGGATGCAGGCTGCGCAGCTCAGCCCCACGGAGATCAGCGCCGTGCGGCAGCTCATCGCCGGCTACCGGGAGTCCGCGGCCTTCCTGCTCCGCTCGGCAGACGAACTGGAAAACCTCATTTTACAGCAGAACTGACTCCTCCTCGCTCCAGAAGACAATTCCTACCTGCTGGCAAGAGGCTCCCGGCGCGTCCTGCTCAGGACCATCGCCCTCCCGCCCGGGTACACGTAGTTTTAGAAGGTGGAATCCAAAAGACCTCTTTTCTTTTACACTCCGAGCACCTGGGACTTGAGGCACAAGGACACGTTTTGAACCGTACCAACAGCCAAACCCGCGGCTCGGGAGGACGTGGGACTTCCAGGGCAGAAGGGAGCCTGGGGAGGTTTGGGGCTGCAGATGTATTTAGAATAACCTTTGTGGACCCAAATGTTAGATTCCCGTCCCCAGATAATTTCTGAGTCTTAGGTGAGCTGAATCACATATTTATTGAGAAATGGACCCTCCTCTCCCCTTAGTAATTTATTTTTCTGAAAATGGATTCTTTTGAGTTTGTACGGATTGCCAGGTTTTTGTCTGTCTGACCAGGAGGAATTGAGTCCTGTGAAATAACACATTCCATATCACCACACTGCTAATGCCCAGGCAGCTCGGCCTGTTTCTCTGGGGAGCCCTTGTCGCGCAGGGAGCACGGCTGCCACCCAGCCCCGGAGCAGCGTCCCGCTTAGCCCTCGGCGGCCCCGCAGCAGCGCCGGGCTCTCCGTGTCCCGCAGAGCCTCGGCAGAGCTCGGCAGCCCCCGGCTGGAAGCGGCCCAAGCAGACGAGAGGAGGAAGGAAGGAAAGAACCTGAGAAACGCGGGCTCGCGGGCACCCTCCGTTCTCTACCTCAGCCTCCGTTGTGGGCTCCCTGCAGGGCCGGCAGCGCTGGTCCTGGTGAGTGTCGCAGCCGCGTGCATCGCGCCGAGGAGGCTGGAAGCGGCCGGGGCCCTGCTGCTGGGCGGCAGCTCCTCAGCCCCGGCCCCACCTGAGCCCAGCCCTGGGGCGGCACCGGGAGCAGGAGCCCCTTAGGAACCGCACGGGTGGAATAAAGCTGATGCCGGGTCCCTGCCTGGGGAGCAAGCGCGGGTGGAAGATGGAGCCAGGCAACGCTCGGCAGCAGCACTGACAAAGTCCTCTCTGGGGCCCAGGATCCTCCCCCCTCCCTGCTCACAGCCCTGGAACAAGCCCACCATGCCCAAAGTGTGGAAAACCGATAACGCGATGACCGCTCTGCCCCGTTACCGCCCCTCCCTACCCCCCAATAATGCACTTCGTTTTGCTCAGTGCAATACCTACTACCAGTGCTGCTAAACCCAGGGACTTCGCTCAGGCCGGGGATGCTGAGCCGAGCTCAAGCAATGCAACGTGCTGTGGAGCCACGGAGAGAGCAGCGCCCGCTCCCAGCCCGGGCAGGAGCCCTCACCCCGGGGCAGACATTCGAGAAGTGCAAACCCCGTTCGAAAGGTCGAGGTTTTCCCTCTTTGGAGCCAGCTTTGGTCCTTTTGGGCTCCTCTCTCCTGCTCCGGGGCTGATGCCGCTGGCACAGGCTCGAGCAGGCACAGGCGGCGGCGGCTGGACCCGGCCCGTTCCCTCCCTAGCCTTTATACCCGATCGTAGTCCCCACACACTGGAAGAGGAGCAAAGCCTCTGCCCTGCTTTAGGCTCAGCACAGCAGGGGCCAGCACGGGGCCGAGGCCGCGCTTGCAGGGCAGCAGGAGGGACCTCCCGTTGCCCATTGACTGCTCCCCCCAAACCTGAACCTTCCCGTAGCAGGTGGAGAAAAGGGACCAGCCCTCCCCACCCCGTCTGTGCAGGGATGGGGGGGCCTGGTGAGACCTGAGCCTGTCCCCAGCCCCCTGAGCCCAGGCTCAGGCTCGTTCCTCCCCGGCACCTCCCTGCTCGGCATTGATGTAAATACTGACCCGTGTGTGAACAGCACGAAGCCCCAAAGCTCTGACACAGACGTGAGCCCGCAGCCGCCTGGGACAGGCTGAACGTGAGGGGAGCAGAGGCAGAGACAATCGCAGTCCCGCACTTCTCCCTCTGCCCCATCCCACCCCAGCCGGTGCCTCCCTCGGCAGAGGCCATCGGGAACCTTTAGCCATAACCCTGCCATCCCGTTCCTGCAGGTGGTGACCCCGGAGAGGCCTCCATCAGCTGCAGCCTGGTTGAAGTTTGATTTAGACCCGTTTTTAGCTGGCGGTCCCAGATCACCTTTGAACTTGTCTTAGCACGTAGTGAAGCAGCTCTTGCGCTTTGTTCAACTGCTGTAGAAGGCGGACGAGGCTCGCGGTTGCATAGGCAGGTACCCGACGGCCCCGTCCTGCCAACTGAGGTTCAGAACTGGCAGCTGAATGGTACAGGCTCAGATTCCCCACGCCCCAGTGACAGCCTCGTCCGACTCCAATGGGATTGACTGTGAATTCCTGTCAGGGATCTTCTTTCTTCTTTCTTCTTTCGTGTCCTTTGGGTGAGCCGTGGCTTTCGAGCCCCTTGGCACGAGCTCCACAGACACCTCGGTGCTCTCCAGCTCGGTTGCGGCTCCTCTGCGCTCCAGGACTGTTTCACAGCCACATTCCTGTGCTCCCACCAGGCAGGATGGGGTCAGGAATCTCTTGTCCGGGTTTCCCAAGGTGAAGGAACGAGCTCTGCAGATCTGAGGGGTGGAAGGAGAAAGCGGGGTTAGCAAATGGTCTGGATGGGCCGGGCTTTTCCTTAGGAGCTGATCACTGCTGGAGAAGACAGAGTCTGATTTCACGCTCTTGCATTTGAGTTGAACCTCGACCATCCCTGCCCCGGGTTGCTCCGTGGGGCTGCGAGCAGCCGTGACTCGTACCTCCCCGCGCGGCCGGCGGCTCCCGCACCAGTGCGTGACAAACCGATGCTGCTGCTGCTGCTTTGAACTCAGAGGGTTGATAGACTTTTCCTTTGTAAGTTTTTGTAAGACTTTTTACAAGGTAGCGTAGACCCCCCCCGGCCCCAACGCCCCGGCTCTGGTTTTTATATCATTTAGTGGTGCTTTAGGACCTTCTGTTTGGTTGTTTCGGGGCCGCACGGCTCCGCTCTTCGCCTGTATCTACCTAAGACCAATGTGAACCTTTGTATTTTTGCTCCTCTTTTGGACTCAGTGAAGTGTCCTGTTTACATGTACAGAACTCCCGGCCCCCGTGTGTTCCGCCAGACCTGCTCGTGAAGAGGAAGATGCACCTCACCCAGTTCGTCTGCTTAACCCAGCCACAGCCTCACTCACCCCAACACGCACCCGCCCCGAGGAAGAACCCCCCCCCAAAACCTGACCCCCCCCACACCCCCCCGGCAGCAGCGGTGGAGTTTGCACACGGGATTCTCTTGTCCCCCAGCGCCAGTTCAGGATCGGTCCAGGTGGATCCCGCTGCTCCCCATCCCCATCCGAGAGCTGCCGAGCTCAGAGCAGGGGTTACACCACGCAGGGGAGGACTGGCAGGGAAGCAGGGGGGATCCCCCCCCCCCCAGGATTGGGAACAGCCTTTCCCGAACCATGGGATGGGGCCAAGCTGAGCTCGGGTTGTGAGGGGGGGAGCGCGTCCCGCGGGAGGCTCCCAAAGGAAGCAGCTCTTTGGAAAGCCGGCGCTTTCCCGAGGCTCCGGGAGAAGCATATGGCACTTAACCCGGCTTTTAGGGTGACACTTTATTGCTTAATCAATGGATTCCTTTCGAAACGGTATTTTTGCAGATAGGCACCTATGCAACTTCATGTGGCTCTTAAGCAGATGAGCACTTCCTCCTCACCGAGCTTGGTAAGAGTTATTTGTGTTCTATACTGTGGATTTTTCCAGTAAATGTGGCTTAATATTTTAATTCTTAGGCTGTGTGTCTATTATATATGTGATGCAACTGAATTCTGTTCTGTTCGTGGAATGATTAGCACAGGCCAACTCCCTGTTCCCCTCACTTAACAAAGACCAATGAGCTGTTAATCAAGCTGTTATCTCCATGGTATTACTTGCTAAATGCACTGATTTCATAAGTATGTGGAATCCTTTTTGGGGTTTTTTTTCTTTCTTTTTTGTTTTTTTTCTTTCGAATCTGTATATCATATATAAGACTGAATCTACTTAATAAACACTGTATAACAAGAAGGGCTTTCTCCTCCACTGTCGAGCCCGCGGGTGCTGCCGGCACCGGGAGCTCCCCAGCCCTGCGATGCGAGTGGTCGGTGGCAGCGGCCACCAAAGCAGGGTGTAAATGTAGGTGTTAAAGGGTAAAAACCATCTCCTCGGGTGGGTACTTTTGGCATAATCGGTGCGGGTACCAGAGAGCAGCACCAGCACTGAGCCGTGGGGCCGGGCACAGGTTTGCTGCCCAACTCCTCTTTTGAGAGAGTTCATTTGTGAAGCGCCGGGTTCTGGTGAGGAAAAACAAAAGGAGTTTTCACTGAAGTCTGTGGGAAGTTTCTCCCTCTCATGGCAAAACCTGAGTTTTCCTGATCAGCTTCCTTCACTGCGCATAATAAACCTTTGCATCCGTAAAACGTTCATCTCTTAAGCGCTGTGTAGATAAAACCCCCTGGGTTGGAGCAGTGGCTGCCCCGCTCCTTCCACAGTATCACAGAATCCCGCCTAAAGCCCATCCAGCTCCAACCCCTGCACGGGCAGGGACCCCTTCCACTGGAGCAGCTTGCTCCAAGCCCCTGTGTCCAACCTGGCCTTGAGCACTGCCAGGGATGGGGCAGCCACAGCTTCTCTGGGCACCCTGTGCCAGCGCCTCAGCACCCTCACAGGGAAGAGCTTCTGCCTGAGAGCTCAGCTCAGTCTCCCCTCTGGCAGGTTAAAGCCATTCCCCTTGTTCTGCCCCTACATCCCTTGCCCAAAGCCCCTCTTTTGTTCTCTTACGTTCAGTAACTTACTGGTGCCCAGAGCCAAGGCGAGGGCTCTGCAGCACACACGGGTGCAGCATCTCCCGTGTGCCTGTGACGCAGCCGGGTTCAGCAACAGCCAAGCCTCGGGATGAGCTCCGATCCCAAGTTTCAGATGGCAGCTGGAAGCCATGGGGACTGGTGGTGTGCGGTTGCAGCAGCGTGCAGAACCACTCTCTGTGGAATGACCTGGTGTTGCTGCCTCATCTCCACGGCACAGGCATGGACAGCCCTCCATCCACAGGCAGCTCTGCCACGGGGCTGGATCCAAAGAGCAGAACCTCTGAGGGAGCAGAGCTGCTGCCTGTCAGAGACACGTCAGGGAGGAAACCAGTGCGTTTCTGTGGGGAACTCAGACATTGAACAGGGTTTGCTCTTGAGAGCCCCAAGCTCCCCACTCTAGAGGGAGCTGACCCCGACCTCACCCTCCAGAACAGCAGTAACACAGAGATGGGTTGGTTGTTCAGGCTTAAATCCTCCCTAAATGACAGCTCCACTTTCTGCATTCCTTATTTTTAGTGTATTTTGATGACCTGGGCACCTCCAAGCCCTGTTTGCAGACACCTGCCAGAGCCAGGGGCTGCAGCCAGGACCGACGTTCACACACACATAAATCCTGACTCC